GGTGGAGGGGGGGGGGAGGAAGCTCTAGGTCATGAGTTAACTACACATTTTAGTCCGTCCTTTCAGAAATTTTTTCCCTAGCAGTAATTTTTAAGCTGGGAAATTTAATTCTTCTGCATAATGAATATTTCATTACCATGTTTTGCTGTGTAGATGGCACTTCAAGTGAGTTTCACTCTGAGAACCTGAAGGAGGAGAGGGGAGGGGAGGGGAGGGGAAATACGCTTCCAAAGATTTCAAATTTAGCCCCCCCCCCGCGTTTTCCCTCCCCAATTTTCCAATCAAAATAAAGGGAAGATTCTCTGCCCAGCTTCCTGACTGATGGCATTTCGGTTACCTCTCTCTCTCCCTCTCCCACTCTCTCCCTCTTCCTTCGTGTGTACTATTTCATTGCTCTATGCGTGTCGGTCAACGCTTGCTCGAATTAGGTCAAGAAATGGGGGTTCATAAAAAATCATGGTCGTCGTTATGCTCTAGGGTCATTTAGTACAAGTTGATAATCCTAATTTCGCAATGAAACATTTCTTAAATTTGTTTTTTTTTACAAATTTTGTTTTTTTTAAAAAAAGAAGTTCTGCTGAATGCCGACGAGCCATGATTCAGGCCTGCAGTGTCTGAACAATATTTATATCAAATGGCAGGATTTTTGATAGTTATCACTAGTCCTTTAGCTGACTTCGGGCTTCACAGAAGGGAGGAACATCAAAGTGAGAAAAATTGGAGAGGGAGAGCAGAAGAGTGATTCATAGTTGTGAAGGAGACAGACATAAAGGTGGAGAAAAGGGTAAGGTGAGTACTGTGAAAGGGGTCAAATATGACATTCAGTCGGGTCATGGTAGTTTGAAGTCAGAAGTCAACTGCCAGTTCATAGACCTTTATGTCGTATGAGTATACATTGCCTAGGGTGCACCACGTAGAGGTAAGTCTATCCCGCACCCCGTGTCTGAACAATATAGATCCCTATAGAAGGCTACTACGCCACCTGTTAGTCATGTCCTTGATTAGAGGTATTAGAAAGCATTATGATCTTGACAATTAGGTTGAACAGGACGAAGGTACGAAATTTCCCTAGATCTAGTAATGCCTTTCTATTGGTTACTGCTGAAGGGGCTAAGAAACTGAAATAAATTTCTTTCAATTCTTAGTTTGTAAACTCTGTTTAAATAATAGTAGTTTCTAATTCGGTCACTGACAATTTCCCGGTGATTTAGCACTTACATTAGATCGCTATAATTCCAATTAGATTTTATACAAGCCTAACGCATGGGGAAAGATAGATTTTTGAAACTCAAGGTAATATATTTTGAGGAAGGAAATAACGAAAGAAGACTTGTTTGGCAAGTAGCGTTTAGAGGCATCTTTCAAGCGGAAATGAATCTTTGAAATACCCTGTGTGCGCTTGTCATGTCCTCATCAATATTTGTATGTTGACTGAAGATTATTAGACATACGTATTCACAAATTGCCAAGTCTATGTATTGTACTGTTTGGACGTGATAGGCTCTTACTTTTTTACACGTGTGTGCTATTAATTTTCATCAAAAATGGCCTCCCTTCCCAATTTCAGTCTAAATGTTAAAAAAATGATGGTCATTCAGGAATTGTTGAAGCAAACTAGAATTTCGCATTTTGACATAGTTGGGGAAAATGTCACTCAACTTAATTAACTTCCAATAATCTTTCTCCCCTCCCTCCCCCCTCTGATGTGACCTGGTGTGTGTGAAGAACACATTATCCGGTTGATTTGCTGATCTCTCTAAATTTTAGTTTATATTTTTTGCACAACAAACTCAGTGGAATTAATTTTTTGAGGAAATGTCCACTTTTTGTTTCTAAAATACGCGAAACAAATCGGAATAAAGCAAAAAAATCAAACTCCTTCAACAAAATCTGAAGTTGAGGATGAGCAAATAATGAGGTCGGGGTGTCTAGAGTTTTGATTTGTCCTGCCAAAAGGGCGTGATTTGTTGAATGCGCAAATTGAATGAATTGGCTGACAGATTTGTGAATGAAGTCATGTCCACAATATTCCTGACCATGTCGATCGATCGATATTGGTTCCATGGTTGACTTTTCTCTAATGATATATTTGCATTTTTACAGTCAAGGTAGGTAACTGGGCAAGGTGCTGCGATGTTTTCCCAAAGCCTTTATTACTGCATATCTACTCAGTCCGTTTTTTAAAGGAAGGTTTTTAAAATAATCTGACGAAGGAAAACTATGAACTCTAATCCCATATCGAGGATCAATGAAAGTTTAAATAATAAGGGAATCTACAAAAAATATGTTTGAGTTGTTATCTGTATGTAGAGGGTTCATAGACTTGAAAGTCAGCTGTTCAATAGCATTTGATAATCTAATTAGTATTCTTGTTCAGTCACTGAACAAGCACTAAATACCGGGTGGCCAAGATAACAGACGTCTCGTGTGAATATACCATGACCCCACTGTATGTCATATTCGACCCCTTTCACAGTACTCATCTAGCCTTTTCTCTGCCTTTGTGTCTGTCTGTTTTTTTAC